CGCGGGGCACTCTGCGGCTACCGGGCTATTTTTTGGCCCGTCGGGGCCCCGATAAGAATTTAATTCTGAGTTAAATTCTACCCGGGCCCCGCTGACAAAAAGACGCCGTGACCTCATCGTGAGAACACCGAGAGGTACCCCTCCGGTTGCCGGCATTCCACCGGGACACATTTCTTACGTCACAGACTAGATGAACAGAATAAAGGTGTGTACTTCGTAAACCCGGGTAAAATGTGTGACCTCACAGATCAAATGATCACAACAAATACGTGAATTCTGCATTACGTATAGGTCAATACAAGTCATCGTCAGAGAATCTGCCTGTTACCTGCCGGGTGCCTGCCGGATACCGACCAAAGAGGGTGACAAAATTTCTAACAAAATGCTACTGAAGGAAACTTTTAATTGTGACCACGACAGCCGATGCCCGCCCGACTCCTGAACCCGGCAGGGGCCAGCCGGGGCTACATCCCCGACGGGCACCGGCGTAATTGGGACCTTAGCTTAACCCAGGGCTATAGTGGAAAGTTTCTTTATTGATACAGCCTCCATGTCCTGTAAGACTTTTGACACTGGCTGATGACTGAAGTAATGACTTTCCCAGATGGACAGGTCAGCACAGTGTTATCAGCCTAGGGGAGAAATGAAGTCCACACTGTTCCATTTCCCCTGCCTGTCACCAATAGGTTATTCCCATCTACCCTGGGGAAGCACATTAACAGGTGGAAGTCCTTTAAATTTCAGGCCACATATCCTTACTTTCCAGTTACAAGACCCTTTATTTGAGTAATCTATCTAATTCTTGGTCACTCATCATCAGTCACTCGATGTTTGCAGCCTCTGGTGCAAAAGAGGCATTATGAAAAGTATTTGATACCTGAGCACATTTCAACAACATTAGTTCTAGTGTATTTTCCATGATGTTCAGACTGAAAAAGAAAGCCATACATATTTAGACGTTAGCCTTAAGACTAACCTTCACCAATGCAACCTAGTTTTTGCCATATCTTAATCCCCACCTGTCATCCATGAAATTGGGTTTCCATGCTTAATCATCACTCCAAAAGGAAGCTGCTTGAGGGATTACTGTACTTCAGCGAATCTTCTAAAATATTTCTTGATCCACATCTTTCACACCAATCTAACCACTTGTTCCTTGGGTGAAGCCATACCCCTCAAAATCATTCATATGTTTTTGGTGATGCTGTTCACATTACCACTGAGCCAAGAAACATAGAAGCTAGCATATGCTGATACAAACATACACTCCCTGTATACATGTAGGCAATGATCCATCCTCTCTGTCTTGCAATGCTTAGTATGAGAAATATTCTTGATACAATCACGAGTCTGAGGACCCACTAAAATCTGCTGGATGAAGTGATAAGAAGGGATCAGTAAATGATACAGATGACCCAGTGTCAGGGACTACACTTGCATGATATATCGTACTCATAAGGAGACGACAAAGGTTTATGGATGACATCTCCTACAGTCTCCAAATCTAATGCAAGAGGGTGAAAAACAAGATGCACAACAAATGAAGTTGCCTAAATTTTGAAAATAGACACCATCAAAATGTTGTGCAAGAATTGAAGTGAAAAATCTTGATATTACCGGGTACAGCCAATAAGTCTTTTATTCCTGCATTCAAGAAGTGATACCATCATATACCGGGTACCACTGCAAGTACACTTTTGAAAGTCTGACATACTACTAATGACATCACTTCTTTAACTACCAGGCTAGTTTCATGCCAACAACTACACTAAAGTCTAGGAGACAACATATATTACCATTTTCTGTATTTTCTTGTCATATGGACCACTGTTGCTCAGTGGAATGAAATTTCTTACTTCTTTTTTTAAATCAGATGAAAATCGATGCTGATATTGCAGGTTGATGTTATCCATAAAATTTACTTCCCGTGGCCTAAGCACAAGAATTGAGAGAAGCAAGATCTCCTCTGAATCCTTTCCCAGCTGGGTTGTCTCTGTAGGCGATTCTTTCTTGACCTAGACACAATATGTCAATAGTTTAACTTGTCAGCTCAGGTTTAATATGCTCTTAACTCTTTACCTTATTTTCAAACTGCTGTGGTATATATGACACAATATGTTTGATTGTTCTCTGTACAGAATTATACCATACCATGTACACTGTAACAGTGTAAGATGGACATGATACTGATAGAAATGTCAGACTTCCTTTTGATGTTGCATGAAAGTAATCTGCCATAAGTCTGGCTGTTTTATGTCTTATCAAGGCTTCAAGTTGGGAATTCAGGGTTGAAGATGGGTATCACTAAATGTACAAATCATCTGGAATGGCCACTGTATAAACTCCAGGTTGGCATGTTTGAGACACCTTTCTGATAAAACTGTAGAAGAGATAATGATAGATAAAAAATAAAACATAGTCTGAAAGGCAGCTGTTTAAGGAGTGTCTCAGTGTCTGTGGTGTTGACATTGTCATGTGTCTGAAGTGCCACAAAAATATGAATGATGCTTTGAGTCTGAAAAGGAAAAGTGTCTACTGGAGTGGCTTTTTATCATTTACATTGTATATTGAACAAGATGTTTTTGTTCCTTTTTTCTCAGCCTTGACTTGAATGTAGGACCGGTGCACAATTCATTTTAAAACTAAGGTTTTCTAGTAGCATGTATCCTTTTTATACTCAACACCGAAAATGTTTCTGTGCATCTAAGAAATTATCTCCTTGGCGTGAAGTGTAATTTCACTCATTTAAAGTGAAAACCATCTAATCTAGTGACTCTCTAAATTTAACTGTGCATGGAAGAGTAACAAATCATACTTGGGATTCCTGGAATGCTTGCTGTGCTTGTTACTCCCTGTCTATATGACCAGACAGTTACATGCCAAATGTACAGCAGAATACCAGGGTACTTAGTCTGTCAGACAATCAGTGCAGACAAGCATGGATCAGATGCTACACATTCCATGGGTAGGTCTCAGTGGGAGCTGTGGCAGTGGTATCATTTAGGATGACTTACAATAAGTCTTAATCAACATTCCCTTTTTGTGTCCTTTTAGAGGGTGTAACAGGGAAATGTTTAACAGCCATTCATCACGTGTTGTTTACAATACATGTATGTACGCTATAACCAATACGAATGCTAAAGGCAGAATACATGTAAATTACATGTATTCTGCCTTTAGCATTCGTATTGGTTATAGCGTACATACATGTAAGCAGCACAGGGTAATGATTGGGACAGAGAATTGTGGGCAAAAAGATTGTGGAGTGATAGAAGAAAGGAGTTTCCCATGGTCCTTCCTAGTCCATTTCTAGTATGCATACATGAATGTAACAACATTGTTGTACCTTCTCAGATCTTCCATTAGTGTCAGCCACATAATGTAGTGACTCATTATCTAACTTCAGATGCCAAACCTTCGGTGACTAAAGACACCTGTGGGTTTATCTTTATGGTTCTCTCAAGCTATTTTCAGTCATAAATCAGGAGAGTTAATCTGCCTAAGAGTATGTTGACCTCTTTGTTTCAAACTCTTAATCTATAAAACTTTCACTCTTTTCATTATGACTGTTAAATTGGGAAAGTTCAAGAGAGGGTCAAGATTTTCTTTTTTATTTCCATTAATTCTTCGATTCTCTATGTCTATATTTGGCCTTAAGTATATAGAGAGACTATAGAGACATTCACGACAACCCTTCCCTTTCTTAGATTTTGGGTTATCCTTTTTAGTCTGTTATATGAACCAGCCATTTGAAAGAAGAATTGTCACAATGAAATGTTTGTAGTCTGAGATACGTTGAAATTCATAGATTTTGCTATGTTATCTACAATGTAATGTACATGCATTATACATGTCTTCTTCTTGTTTGTCCCTGCATGTATATACCTGATAGTGCCCCAAATTTATTTATAGCACAGCATTGTAGCTGCCTTTTAGCAGTAGCATCTGTGAATAGATTATTGCGAAGATCTTTATTGCAAATTCTAGAACTCCCAAGAGTTTTATTGTTGCCAGCAAGTAAAATATTCATGATTCAAAAGATGTATCATCTTACTTATTCTTAGGGCTATTCCATTTTTAAGTCGAGCGTGGCCCGAGACTGTTTGGAAATGTTCACTTATTTGGAATTTTGATAAACACCCTTTTATTTCACATGACTTATTTTCTTGTTATGAATCTTCTTCTCATGTCTCTTTTCCCAACTTTTTAATCTTATCCCAATCTCTTTTATCTCTTGATATTGTGGTAGAGCCCGAAATACAAATGCAAGAAACTGCATGTGATCAATTTTAACATCATTTGTGGCCAGACAGTAACAGAATTTGCACCATTGCGACATGGCTGGTAGCTATCTGTCCCCTACAGTCAAATTTCTGCATTGCACCATGGAATATCAATTGGATGTGCACTCACTATGTTCATATCTCACATGTTATGTATTCCCCTCACAGAGAAAGTGCGCAAGGACATTATGCAGAGAGGCTCCCATGGCCTTGAAGTGCTACTGGCAACACTAGAGGTATGTTTAAATACTAATATTTTCACAGCTACTCCTGAGTGAATTTGACACGTTAGTGCATGTCAGTTGTTATAACCTCTATGTTTTTGCTAGGCTGTGATTGCAGTCGACAAGATACATGTAGCTATATATGTACATGTATATGGGATTTTCAACATTTGATCACATTTTGGAATCTATGTTATCACTCCCAATCCAAACCCATGAATTTACTTAAAGATTGCCAGACAACATATGTGTCACAGAGGATATCTAATGTTTATTTTTCATTCTAGATATGTGCATATCCTTGACATTTCAATAGGCCCCTGCTGAAAGAATGAATGTTGAAGTCTGTCTGTGTTGTTCTGAAGACAGTATCTTGTTTCTCATTCCAGAGGTCAACAGACACCAGTGTCTCCCAGAACGTGGTCGCCATTCTAAGTGAGCTGGTCTGTAGTGGTAAGTTTCGCTGATGATGCCCCAATAGCAGCTCACACTTGTACATCTTTATATCTCATTCTATGGAGGTTTTGTTTTTAGTGTGTCTGTGTGTTTGCTTATATTTACATGGTTATTACCTTCGCCAAGAAGGTTATGTTTTCAGGGGCGTTCGTGTATGTGTGTGTGTGTGTGTGTGTGTGTGTGTGTGTCTGTCAACACGATAACTTGAGAAGGCCTTGATGGATTGTCTTGATACTTGGTGGGTGGGTAGGTCTTGATGAGACCTCAAAATGATTAGATTTTGGACCCCCTAGCGGCTTGTTATGGTACTGCAGCTGAACTTCCGGTTTTGATATCTCATGATCTAGACATGCTATGGTGATGAAATTTGAATGGTAGGTAGCTCTTGTGCTGGGGAAGAAGTGATGGGAGTTTAGGCCCCCTAGCGGCTTGCTCTGGAACTGCAGCGATATATTCTTGAAAATATTCAAAAGGGGATAACTCAAGAACCGGTTGACGGATCGTCGTGATTTTTGGTATATAGGTAGCTTACGTGATCCTTCATATAATTATGTGACAATTATGCAAATATGGATATAATTTGCATAATTTATGGGGAAATTCTATAAATCAGCTGCATTCCATGATAGGACAATTAAAGCTTGTGACATTGGTAATTGACAACGAGAGAAACACAGGAAGATATTGATTATGTTAATAATGACCTAATTTGCATAATTAATGAGAAAATTTTATAATTATGTAATGATAACTGTCTGGAATTTCATACTTGTGGTATTTGAAAGTTAAATTGAGGTGAACATCATTAAGCATAATTTATTCAAATCAGGACCTCATTTGCATAATTTATTAGGAAATGCTAGAATGCATTGTTTGTTAATATAAGACTGTTTTTTTGGTTGAGATTATGATAAAATGATATAATTCATGAAAATTAGGTTCCTATTCCTTAAATCAGGGGGGGAATAATCTAATCTATAATTTGTCAGTCATAAAGATTAACATCATTTGGCGAAGGTATGAGATCGGGGAACTCTAGTTTTCATGTGCTACAGTGGGCACTGACAGGATTTTAAGTCAGAATGGTCCTAGAAAAGGTCATCTCATTTTCTGTTTCCATTTTTTTGCTATATGAATGCATGTCTGTTGCATTATGAGAGCAAATGCGAAATGCATTACTATAAAGACAGAATCAATGAGAAATTTACAATAACAATTAAAACAATCTTCAATTTAACTCAAACATTTCTGTGTGATTGACCTGTAAGTTTCTAGAAATGGTTGTATCAAATACAACTGATGCAGATAGGAGACCCTTACTCCTTGGTACAACTACAAGGTACAGGATTTTACTCAAGATATGTTTCTTGTGTTTGTCAACTAGAGCCTCATAGAGCACTCTATGGTGAGTAGCTGTAAGATGAAGATGTTTTCTTCACCATACTTCAATCATGGGACAGGGTGATACAAGAAAATTTTGCCTCTTAATTTTGAAGAGGTTGAGCAATGTCTGTCTATTTCTGCATGTTGAAGTACATTTGCTAGTGTGCAATTGGTATGTGCAGTTCTGTATAAGAAGCCCCCTCTTGCAACAGATTCATGAACAGCATCGTCAACACCGGCGTTCTATTAGTACAGTCAAGAAGGCACTACTTTGATTTGGAGGTTGAAGGAAAATTGCACTTGTTCGCAGTGTTCATGTATGTGTAGTGCATGGCTATGACATTTACTTTCTTTGTAAGCATTTCAGTTCTTGGCAATCCAAAGTTTGCCACTGCCTACTGGAGATAAAAAACTAAATTAGTCATAGTTGAAAACTAAGGCAAGTTGTCTTCTTAGGCTCATTTTGGATCCATTAATGTAGTTGAATGCGTGTCCAAAGGCATTTTAATTATTAAGGTTGTTTGTATTTGCAATTAGTCCTTGGGCATGTATTTGCAATAAACTTTCTATTATTGGAAAATACAGTCACGTACTCAATGTACTCTACCTCCCTCCAACCTATGTCACTGGAAACTACATTGTACAAGGCCAGGCTTCACTACAAAGTTGTGGTTTCCATTTTGATTCATAAAAGGTAAATGACAATTTCTCTGTTTTGTTGTTAGGTAGTACCAAGCGGGCTAGTATCCTGGCCACCTCAGGCACGTGCCAGGTGTTGTTACGGGAGTTGGTCCGTGCGGCACGCGAGTCTCCGGTCTGTGAGGAACACCTCCTGTCACTCCACAGTATACTGGCCAAGATAGGACAGAAGGGTGAGTCATCCAGATTTCTGTCATCTATCAGATAACTCGGCTGCATGTAGTGTTGGCAGAAGTATGATGACATTCATTCAGCAGTATGATGACAAGAATCATGTGAATGTAATATCATTTACATGTATCGTGGTAAAATTTGTATATGACTTTTATTAATCAAACCATCAAATCATGTTCCAATATGTGATATCAGCACTGCAATGTTTCTTGTTGATATATTGGTTCTTTACCAGAATTGCTGTTTGTTACAGAAATAATTTCAGAACTGAACATTAAGCTTGACTATACATCTTGCTTCTTTCTGACAGACCGTAAGTTTGCGGTGAAAGCTCGCCTGTGCGGTACACTGTCCACCACCCTGGGTCTGGTACGGAACCATCCTCATAGCTCCAAAATCCTGACCCCGACTATGCAGGTGCTCAAGCTGTATGCTGCCAATGGTGAGTGAAAGCTTAAAGTACACCAGTAGAAGCCCTCTCTTGCATTCTTCTGATAAATTGCAACACAAGCATGTAACTACCAAGAAGACTAATAGATATGATATTGTGTGTTTTTGTGTGTTTCAGTTGTAAATGCTTCTTTGCTGGGAAAGTCTGGAGCTGTTAGTATTGTCTTCCGAGTCATGACAGCCTGCGGCAAGAAATACACCAGCATGCTCAAGTAGGTCCTCTGTTGTTGTTTCACAGTTTATATAACTGGTATAAGAATTTAAACAATGCTATAATACTACATGTATGTAGCTGATTGTCTTTTATACAGTGCCCATTAAACACACATGTGACATTAATGATCAACTGTTTTCGCCCTGCAGGTTAGCTCTGGATACACTTGCACTTTTAATGAAATCAAGTAAGTTGTTCCTCATGTTGTGACTATTTGTAAGATGTGGTCATCTTGTTCTTTGTTGCCATGATTGTGTGTGTATGTGTGTTTATTTCACTCTCTTGCATGAGATCTTGAGTTTCTGTAGGATGTTATCTATAATTTTAAAACTGTGTGGCTCTCAAATAGACTTGTAGGTTGCTTAAATGATAAAACAGTAACAGTTTTTTTATATCACAATGTATATGATTTAATAAGCATTTTGATTGATGCTGTGATCATTGTTCTGTACAGAAACCAATGCAGGCCGTGCTGTGGCACAAGGTGGAGTCACGGTGCTTCTGGGGATGTTCTACGACTTGCACAGATTTGATGTCAGACACCGACAGACAAACGTCAAGAAGGCCATCCTCACTGTACTAAAGAATATAACAAATCTCAGTGAGTATGGGATATGTCATTTCCTGTTTGTTAGGTTTTTTACTTACCATAGATCTGTCATCCTGGGAAGGCTTTGTTCTATTGTGTGTACTGTCAGTGAACTTAACTATGTAAGAAAGCTTCTGTCATTCAAAAACTTATAAAAGACAAATGACAAACAGTTACCAATGGTGATAGCCACTAACATTTTTACTGATTTTTACAGAAACTGGACGTAAAGCCTTTATTCAAGCTGAGGGAATCCGCATCCTACATACCACCTCCCAGGAAACTCTCAACTGTGAGTGTTCGTCATTACTTTATTTCTCTTCGTTCTAAACAACTTATACCATAGAATGCAAAAAGTTAGCAGTTTCAGGTTGAAATGAAATAGTACAGTGAAACAAAGCATGTCCTTTCTGATGTGATATAAGGCCATTGATACAAACAACATAAAATTAATGTATTTGTACACAGTTTATACATATCTCCTTCATTGGTCTCCCACAATGTCATCACAGGTAAAGCATTGGAACCAGTTATCAACCTCTCCAGTATCATCATGAGGAAGTGCTTCCCCAAGCAGCAGCTCCCCCTAGTGACTCTCAACAGCACCTACAAGTATCCCCTCCCTGGCTCCGGTGGAGATACAGGGGATGGGCCACAGGGTATCCTACCTCAGATCTTAGAAGGCAAGGATCTGCTTTACATGTACTTTTTCCTCTGTTGAAAGTCTTTTTGTTTGTCTTTGGTCCACTTCTGCAAAAGGTTCATAAATGAAACAGTCCGCACAAGGAGGGAGATGGAATAATTTGTAGTTATGTACTGAAACATATCTCATGGGTGTTGATACTAACTGTCCTTACCCTGCCTCTTACAGAAGACCTTGGTGAGGACAGTGATGATGATGACATCAGTGTTGGAGACGAGGATGCAGAACTGGCCAGACTGGAGGCACTGGTGGGTGGAGCTGTCATGTTGAGATATGCAATAAAGATAGTAGGAGGGGTGACACTGTGTCAATGTACAATGTACTTTTCTGTATTTGTAACTTTAGGCCATTTGGCATAATCAAGGACATTATACACAATGTCCTTGGCATGATCTTTCCATGCATTTTAGAATTGTTAACCTTCTCCCTGCTGCCTGACCTTGTAACCATTAGAGAACTGGTAACCAAATGGCGTCTTCAATCTGCTAAAGGTTAAAGCACAGCTAAACAACAATGTGAACTGTGGATGTTTGTACAGGAACAGGAGGAGAAGGAGGAGGTGCTGCTGCCTGAGTCCAGACCGCCCAGCCGGGAGCAGGAGGAACGACCTCGCACCGCGGAGGAGATCTTCGGATACGAGAAGTTCTTCCCAGAACTCAGGGAGTTCAGAGTAAGGAAGTCAGAAGTTTTATAGCTGCATTCCTGTAGTGTTTAGTTTACAGGTAATGATAAAGTGAAAGCAATAGTGACACTTGAGTAACAATTACAGATCTGTTTAAGCACTGCATAGGCTTTACATGTCACACGATTTGGAAATATACTGCTCAACAAACAGGCCCTGTTTTTGAGGTACTGTAGTAATCTGAAGAAATTTATCCTCTGTGTCTACATGTAAAATTGTAAGTATTGCCAAGTTATTCCAATTATTTGGACTTATTAAAATGTATTTATGGTAAAAATCTCCCTAGCACACCTCAACAAGATTTAAATTGCTGCTATATTTCTTCCTTCCATTCTTGTCAGCTTCCGTCCAGTCTGGCTGGTCATGGAGCCCAGGACCGTCGGTGCAGTGAGCCCACCAGACCTCCCCCTCCCATCTACATCCCCACCGCCGGCATGGACTCATCACACCTGGGAATGAGAGATCATCATGTGACCCAGTCTTGGTCCCAGGTTCCCCATAGTGCACATGCCAAAATGGAGAATGAATGCAGTCTTCCCTCTATACCTAAGCATGGCTTGACTGCGAATAGATACTCAGACCCTGACTTTGTGGCCCACGAGCTGAACTCCATACGACTTTCTGACGAGGAAACTTTCCCTTCAATGGACAGGCGCAGCATTGGAAGCAGCCACAGTAATAGCACGAGTAGCGGGTTCTCTAGTGGTGGTGGATCGCGGGAAAGCAGCTCAAGTGACTGGAGAGGCGGAAAATGTGTGCGGGAAAACGTTAGTCCGTACCACGACGTGGATCAAACTTCAGATAGCGCCCAGGGGTCGTTCTTCCTTCCGCACCTGACCGCTGCGTACGGCTCCGTGACAGATGGTGAGAGCTCGCGGGCTGGATCTAGGAGTTCCAGTGACAAGTCCAGTGCCTTTCATCAAAGTCACATGCAATACAACAGGAGTGGGTTGGACTTCTTTGACTACCCGAAGGTCTATGCTCGGTTTGCTCGGCGTGTGAGGAGTGTGGTGCCCTTCAACAAGCTGGCGTACCCTGACCTAGCGGGGCACGTGTCCCCCGACTATGCTGAACTGCAGACCAGTCGAGAGTTTGGGGTGCAGAGGTATGTCTGGCTTGGCAGGACAAAAAACACACTGTTGTGTCAGCTTACTGTGATTTTGGTTAAGTGTATATTTGCATGAAGTACACAATGTGCAATGTCAGTTAAGCAGTACCAGTTTAGCAGTACCAGTAGACTTAAGTGTT